CAAACCAGCAGCACTGCAAACAGGAAGCAGGAATAACACTGTCCAACAGCGACACCCGCCTATAACACTCGTTGCCTTTTCTAGACCAGGTCTCGTCCCATTCGTCGGTATTTGTGATATCACAAATCCCGGAAAATATGCGTTGTAGTCCAAACGTCGTTCGTTGTAGTTTTTGAAAAGTGATTTCTGTTAAATAAAATATCTCCTTTTGAAGTGGACTTTGAGCTTTGTAACTTTGCCGATCTTTTTTATGCTCAAACAGCAACATTACTGACTAACTTAAAATGAAAAAATGAAAAAGCATAATAGGACCCCTTTAAATTATTATTATTATTATTTTTAGTTAAAATCATCTAAAATCATCAAGTCTGTTCAACAAATGGTCACCGTCAGGGTTTCGAGAGGGGAAACTCTAACATGCAACAACCAATTTTCAGTATATATATCAATTTTTGATGTCCCACCCTATATTTTTTCTAACCAGTGTTAGGTAAAATGGGTTGCGAATGTAATTTCATGTTGACTTTACTGAAGTTTTGAAGAGAAATTAAGAAGTTGTTACACAGCTCATTTAAGGAAAATTATCCAATAACAGCATTTCAACAGTTTTTACAAACAAACAATGAAAAACAAAGAAGTGATGGAGCCTTAACTCTGAACTATTTCCAAAAGCAACAAACTGTGTTTTCCAGAACTCTAGAAGAAGATCCTGGTTATTGATTCACTTGACATGACTAGCTGTTTCGTGAGAGCTGAGTTGTTTATGTGTATCATCCTGGGAGATTCTTTGACTGACTTCTTGACTTTTTCATTACTGAATTATTAAACCGTAGCACCATAAATCCTTTACCATGAGGAAAAGTCAATACCTCTCTTGTTAACCTCAGATACACTCAACTCACTATGCCAAATGGTTCTTTGCTTCATTTAAAAACATTATTGACAGCATTGAATAAGCATAAATAAACAGTGTGTGGTCCTCCACAGGGTTCACTAGATAGACATCAGGTAGACGTCATATCAGTGTGATCTCCCAGCATGCATTGCTGTGTGCTTTATTGTTCTCTGTGGGAGAATATTATACCTTCTCACGCCACCAGGATGACAACAAACCTCTTATCAGCATGAGAAAAGCAATGTTACTGACCATATGTTATATGAGAATCAGACACCAGGCGTTATGACGGCTATCATCACAAGTATGATGGGTGTACAATAGTTGCATGTGATGATGTGACATTTATTTGCTCAATAAGACAAAATGCTCCACAAAATGGTGAATCTCACAGAAACATGTCCAGGTCATATTTCACTCCAAAATCAAATGAAAAAATACATAAAATCTTATATTTAAAATATTATAATTAACTACTGTATATAACTCAATAGAAATAAATAACATATTTTCATAAAGAAAATGGAGATTTTAGGACCATTAACATTTTTCTTTTTTGCATTTTTGCATTATTTTCATACTGCAGAAAATCGAGGCTCTCCCCCCCCCCAAAAAAAAGAAAAGAAAAAAGAAAAAAATATATTTCATAGAGAAAATGTAATTTAATTTATTATTGTTTTCTTTCAGCAGCAAATGTATACACTCAAAATATTATATTTTAAATAACTGAATATATATATAAAAATATAAAAAATATTTTCATGAAGGAAATTGAGTCTATTTTTAGAACCACTAACATTTTTCAAATTGTTTTCAGGAAAATAAAGCACTTTTTTGCACTGTAATGTGTCCAAATGTTTTCTTTTCATCACATTCTCATATATTAAAATCAGCGTAAAGTTATCCCACTTTTATGCTGAATTAAATAAAATTACAGATACTAACATTTTTTAAATATTACAACAACATAGATTTGTATTACAATAAGGTGCGTTTAAATGCAAGAAAATAATGTCACAATGCAAAAAAATCTTATGGTTCTACAAAATTTCTTAATTTTCTTAATGCAAAATATATTCTTTTTAATTCCATTTGAAAAATGACCTGTTCTAGACAAGTTTTGTGAGATTCATACATTTATGCATTATTATATATCTTATCAGTGGCTCTTCACATTCACATCAGTGAACTATGAAAGCATAAATGAGTTCTGCAGCTTAATAAAATACAACAAATGATTCATTCTTAAATAAAAGCTCTTGAACAGAGCTGAAGAGAGAGCTCAGTTTATCTGAAGTGAATCTCTGGCTCTGCACTATATTGAACATGTCGCACGGTTCTGCTGCTGCAAGAACTGATAGCAATTCAGCGATTCGATTGTCCAGACAAGCAGATAGGCCAGCCTTGACATAAAAGCTGAATCAGCAAGCATGACAATCAGTTACTGTTAGTCTGAGTTATTGAAAATGATGTAGTCAAACATATTTACCAGAAAGAAGCCATTGTGCTGCGATGTCTCTTTATTACGGTTCTTTTTATCCTGTCGACGGCAGCAGCACACACAAACAGACACACACGCAACAGAAGATAAAAATGCTGTTAAAATGGAGATAAATGTTAAGATAAGTGATGCAAACATAGGATGAACTTTAAAGGAAATTTAAAGACAACAACAAAAATGCAATAAAATGCAGCTTGCAAATGGCCACGTTCACACTCCAGGTTCATTTCGAATAAGACAAACTAAAATGACTCAGTTCAGAAAGGGCTTTGAATGATTTACTTATTGAATCTGATTCAAATCACGAATATTTTGTGAATATTTTTGACTGATTCATCAAAACCAACTCATGAGAGTCATTTGTTCACAAATCAGACATCACAGTTCGTGCTGTGTCACTTTAAAGATGTGATTAATGCAACCAGATAAAATGATAAATTACACAAAATGTTTATTTATCACAGTGTGACTCCTATATTATTTTTTCATGCACTGTAATAATTAAGATTAATTCGCTCTTATATTTAAAATTTGACTCCCTAAACTTTGCAGTGCATACATGACCAATAAAAACTATTAGGCAAAATATTTAAGGGAAAATAATTCTGTTGTAGAGTCAAAACATTTACAAATACATTTAAATAAAAAGTGTTTAAAGAAAAAACATATGGTGCAAACTTAAAAATACAATTACAGCCCAGTCTCACAAGTGAGTTTATCATTTTGTAAATCTTTTTGTCTGATTCATCAAAACCAAGTCATTTTTTCATGAATCAGACATCATGGTTCACGCTGTGTTTGTTGCTTCATCACTTTAAAGATGTGATTAACTAATGCGATCTGATAAAAAATAAATGACAAAACTGCATTTTTACACGACTGTATTTTACATTGTTGCATCAGGTGTGAATCAGGAATCTTGTATTATTTTTATATGCAGTGCAGTGCAATAATTGATTTGATTAATTCGCTCTTATATTTAAAAGTTGTTAAGATTCTAAAAACTTTGTATATGTGGCCAATAAGTTTGAAGTCATTTTGTGAATCTTTTTGACTGATTCATCAAAACCGACTCATAAGAGTCATTTGTTCGTGAATCGGATATCACAGTTTGCGCATGCAGTATTTCTATATGCAGTTTAATAATGTAGGAGATTAATTCGCTCTTATATTTAAAAGTGGTTGTGACTCCCAAAAATTTGCGGTGTGCACGTGGCCAATAAAAAACCATTATGCAAATCAAATTAAAACTTTCAAAACAAATTAAAAAGCCATGTTATTAAAGCAAAAACAAACGGATGCTTATCCAGTCCCACAGTGGTGGCCATCCTACCTTAAACTCTTTTTCGATGTTGGCGAGTTTGGTGAGCTCATTGCTCAGCTCCAGTGCGGTCAGTACGGGGTCTTCGCTGGACAGAGAGAGATACGCCGGACTGGCCAGTCCACGGTACGCATTTATCCTGGACCGCGAGTGGCTGAACGAGTCCTTCCTCTGCTTCTCCGTGCAGTCAGCGCATTTGCAGAAGTAGTCGTGAGGCCGCTCGATCCTGGCGCCCTTCATCAGCAGCATGTGCACGACCTCGTATTTCTGGCAGTGGGCGGCCAGGATGATAGGCGTGATATCGGGCGAGAACCGCGTGCCGTCCTCGTCGTACGAGTAAAAGTCGTCGTCTTGCAACTCGCAGGGGCTGCGGGTGAGTCGTTCGCCGCCCGCAAAGGACGGATGTCCCAGCAGGGCCTCCACAATACGCATGTAACCTTTAGAAATCGCCAGCAGAAGTGCATCCCCGACACGGGCCAGGTTGTCTCTCTGCAGGAGCAGCTCGGTGACCTCCAGGTGTTCATTGCCGACGGCCAGCTGTAGCCCGTTCTGTCCCATGTAGTCGACGCAGTTCACGTTGAGTGTGGGTGATTCTTCCAGCATTTTCCGGACCACCGGGATGTTGCCGTACTCCGCCGCGTCCAAAAAGCGTTCTTCCTCCGCCGTGAGGCTGCTGCCACGGGTGTTGAACATGAACGCCGGTCCGCGAACCGCCTGTCGTCGGCCCTTTTCTCGTGGTAGGGTCATCCTGCGATGGGGGAAAGTATCCGAAGATTTCCTGCAATTGAAAAAGAAGTATTTTTACCTTGTGAACGTTAGTCAAGCTCATCCAAGTGGAAGTGACTTTCTATACACTTGGCTGCTTGATTATATCTCAAGCCTTTGACAAATATCCAACAAGTTGACTTTCTCACTGAGAGCTGACAAGTGGTGTATCATCAGGGACGTGATCCCACAGGGACGGAAAGGTGATTCGGGCCGGACGGTCCTGCTGAAGGCGAGATCGCCCTCTGGCTTTTAATAGCTTTTTAATGAAACGCAACAGATGCCATATTCAGACAACAGGTGGAGTGACGTCTGTTCTCAACTCAAGCTGACTCACGTTTAGTGAGCACTCGAGGTGAAGAGAGCATACAGTAAAAGAGTGTGAATGTTCATTTCGCTCAATTGTATGGATAATACTTTTAACAATGTTAATACGTATTGGGCCTTTACTCTTTACATCTTGAGACTTCATGGCATTCATATGAAAGGTTTAAAACCCTTATCCCTTTCCCCTATTCCTCTATACACTCACTGCAATACAAAGTCCAAAAAACATCAAACATTTTTGGGAACAGGTTGGGATTTGGGAATTTGGCACTAGAACTCTGTCCCAATTACAAAAGCTTATTCTGAGAGGATTTTCACACCTTCTGACCAATGATTTTCTATTACTTTTTCCCATGCATTTTATAGAGACTGCACTCTGGTCAAATATTTTAGAGTAAAGCATGGCTGAAAATGGAAAATATATATTTAACACATTCTAAAGAATATATATTTGACATTCTTTAAAACTGTGATTTAAAAAGAGGACATAAATACAGACATGCATATAATTTAATATTTTAATTTACAGTCATTTAAGAATGTTTTTTAAAATTATTTAAATTATTTAAAAATGATAATATATACACACACATATATTAACAAATATTTTCATTATATATATATATATATATATATATTATATATATATATATATATATATGCATGTAGCCTATGTATGTATAATGTATATGTGTGTATGTATACAGTTTTTTACAAAATTTTACATACACTTTCCAATATCTGCAAAATGTTAATTACCAAAACACAATCATACAAAATGCATGTTGTTTTTTATTTAGTACTGACCTGAATAAGATATTTCACATAAAGATTTTGAGATCCATGTTTTCCCACTGAGGACAACCAAGGGACTCATACGCAACTATTAGAAAAGGTTCAAACGCTCACTGATGCTCCAAAAGGAAAAACGATAAAAAATAAATAAATAAAATAACACAAAAAATAACATGCATTTTGTATGATCCCTCTTACTTTGGTAAAATAATTAACATTTTGCAGATACTGCAAAGCATATGTGTAATTTTGACCACAACTGTATATATATATATATATATATATATATATATATACAGTTTCCAGAAGGCCAACATTTCACTAAAAATGTTTTTTTTATTGGTTTTATTTTATTGGTTTTTGTTAAATGTGAGCCAAAATCATCACAATTAAAAGAACCAAAGACTTAAACTACTTCAGTCTGTGTGCATTGAATTTATTTAATACACGAGTTTCACAATTTGAGTTGAATTACTGAAATAAATGAACTTTTCCACGACATTCTAATTTATTGAGATGCACCTGTATATATATATGTATTAGGGATGCCACAGTTCTCAATATAATATTGAACCGTTCGGTACGACATCCATGGTTCATATGATATTCCATGTTTTTATCCAGTGTACTGAAGTATACAGGTGACTTTTTAAAAAAATCACATTTTAAATCCCAAATCGCAAAAAAACACTCTGATGTGCCAAGCCATCAGAACCGATCCTATATATATATATATACACATATATATATATATATATGATTAATAAACTGTTAAACTCCCTTGTATTAAAAGCCACCAACACTGTTTACTGAGCCATAGTCATGCTGTATTGAATCAAACAAAACTTCGACTGACACATTACACCACAAACAAACGTATCTGCTTTAACACAATATAATCCTTAAAACAAGCACAGTGTTAGTAAAAGTCATAAACACATGAAACTGAATCAGAAAAAAAAAACAGGCAAATAAAATTGTATTATTGTGTACTCATAAAAACAACTCATTCAAGACATCAAACAACTTCAGCACAAACCTTATTTATTACATGCATTAGTAAATAAGGTTTGTGAGAATGAGTTTGTTTAATTTAAGGTCTGAATTTATAGTTTGAAGCATAGACTATAAACTGCAGGATTTACTTGAGCGGGGAAATTAATTTCACACAGCCCAGGTCCCTGGAGCTTCAGACGTCACCAGAGGCCAGAGAGGAGGGGAAGCATTCAACTCGAAACTCTCCATGCAAGACTCTTCCATGCCAATTCAATAAACGCAAAGAGCTCAGCCTCCCCTAAAACCCCTTGACTCTAGCAAACACAGAACATGACTTGAATCTGCTCTGGACTGAGGTATGAATTAATAAAGTTAAACTTCCTACTGCATATGTAGTAAACAAAAAGGTGAAACTCTCTTACAGCTGAGATTTTCTTTTAGATTTACATTACATTTTATGGATTTGGCAGATGCTTTTATCCTGCAATGTATATATTTCACCAGTATTCCCTGAGAATCAAACTCATGACCTTGGCGTTTATTTGAGCTACACCAAATTGAGGAACATCTTTTAATTAATTAGTTTTGTTAAGAAATTTATTTGGTGTACAACACAAATTGAAAAAATTTATTTTGTTATTATAATGTTTAACAGTGGACATATAATGTGGAACACCTTTTACTGAATTAGTTTTGCAAAAAAATTCATATGGTCTACAAAAATTTTTCAGCATTAATGTAAAAAAGCTAGCCATTTTTCGGTTCCAAGAACGTTCAGAGAATGTTAGTTTATTATTCCCGGAATGTTCCCAGAACATGGACTTTTTAAGGTTTTAGAAATATATAAAAAAAAAAAAAAAAACTACTAAACATGACATGAGAAAATGAGAAAATGTAAAAATCTTGTTAAGACACAGCTTCCTTTGGGGTTTTAACATGAGTTAAGTATTTATTTAATTTTTTACAAAATAATTGTAATTTATTTTGTTATTTTAACGTTCAACAGTGGGCATATCATGTGGACATTTCATTTTACAAACATGAGCTAGTAAAATAAATACTGTACCTTGCAGGCTATGTAAGTTGCTTTTGATAAAATCAATATGTGTACTGTATATATCTGCTACTAATCAGCTATATAGCATGCTTTTATAAGACAGAGCATTCTCTGATGGTGGAAATTACATTTGAAACATTTTTGGAAGAAAATGGCCAACTTCTTTGCCTTGAATAAGCTAGCTTGCATTTTATGTGCAATATAACTTTTTTGCATAATTTAGCAGAACTGGAAATTATGTACATTGAAAAATTGTTATGGATATTTACCTAGATTTTTCTTTGTTTTTCTCACACATTACAGTTTGATGAACTTTTGAAAAAAAAAACCAAAAAAAAAACTTCATTTAAGCTGAACTTGTTCATTTCAGGTGGGAATTACATATTTTTAAAAAATTGCTAATGATTTGTACACAATAAAAGGTGGTTGATGCTTATTTGACTTTTTGTTCACATTATGTTTAAAAATATCTAATAATATTTTGTATATTCTGAAAAGATATTCTGAAAGACTTTATATGACAGACATTATTTATTTATAAATTTTTCAAATAATGACGTCCTCAAATGCCTTCAAGGAAGATTTTGTCAGATTTAGCTCACTTATGGAGACACATTTATCGCTACAGTAAACCCACGCATGCATTAATAATCAGTGGAGAAATGAGCTTCCACTAGGTGTCGCTTTAAGGTTCATATCACAGCTTACATTAGAAAATACAAAGAAACTGTATTTTACGTCGTTTAGTATTTCAATACCATTTCGGCATCAAGTTAATAATGACAAATGTTGCAGCGACAGGTTCAACAAGACTAGGCTATTTCAACAGGAACAATGAAATACATATTTAATGTAGCCTATTTTAATAAAAAAAAAAATCAAACTTAAGAAATGACTATGAAACTTGATATTTTAAGCTAATATTTTACTCAAAAAAATATACAGAAATCTTATACTTTTCATATCATTAAAATGATTTAGTCTGCCTTTTTACGCGTTATGTTGCTTTTTACTGCGTTATCACTGAGATCAAAGACATTCGTGTGAGTTTGTAGAGTTGTATGAACACTCACATGTTGTACCGGTAATATCCCGATGAATCGCTGACCGTCTTGACGGATTTCAGGTGATGTGCGTCCACACCGCCGTTCTCCTCTTTCCAGCACTGCTCATCTTCATCCTCAGAAAACGACACTCTTTTCTGGTATTTGGATCCTCTGCCTTTCATGGACATCCAGACAGCGGCTGTGAGAGCGGACTCCAGCTCTGCTCACTCACTGCAGGTGAAGCTCTGACTCCAGCATCAGGATCAGCGTGCGTGTGTGTGTGTGTGTGTGTGTGAAAAGAACAGCAGGAGATGAGAGGAGAATCCAGCAGCCCTGCCCACATCCAGCAGTCCTCATTAAACAAGTCAAGCAGAGGTCACAGGGTAGTCATGTGGGCTAAATTAATTTTTATTTTGTTGGAGTTCACTATTAGAGAATACATTTTTTTCTAAGTTTAGAAAAACCTGTCAAAATTGTAGTGTTTTGAAATAAACACTATTATTAAAATCCTATAGTTTTTTATATTATACTTTATATAAAATAATACAAAATTCTTTTAATAAAAATTATACGCATACATATATTTTGCATACATTTTAAATATTTTATATAATTATATATCACATAATATATTTATTAGACCATCACCACACAATGTAAGGTTTGTGCCACAGCTGCCCTAAACTAACAGTATTGGTGATTACCAAAATCTTTTTTTTTATGTTTCTGTAATGGTTAATCTACCAGTATGTGTAAGCTCTTTAGCCACAGTAATGTTTCTAATGCTAAAATATAATTATTGGTATTCATGAATTTTCAAATTTGCTGTTTTACAAGAAAGGCAGAAAAAATAGTAAAGCACTTTATAATTTTTTTTATTCAGATGCCAAATTACAGTCAATAACAAGAGACTGGAAAGTACATAAAAACAATGCCAGCAAGAATAATGCAAGCATTTATCAAGGCCAAAGAAGTCCATAGAAAAAATTAAGTTTTTTGGTTATGTATGAATAAAGACTTGTTTCAGTTTGTTATTTGCCTAATAAATAAAAATAAAATGTTTAGTTTTAAACAAGTCTTTGACAGATTCCTAAAATATATGTGTTTTCTATTTACTACTACAGGTGGTCTAAAAATTTAAGCACATACATACATATATTTAACTGTTGATCAGTGATTGGATCAGCTGATTGTTTTTTTTTTCTTTTTTTACATCAGCAGCCAATGAACTTGCTACTCAGCATTCAAAAACGTGCTTGCTGTAGAAGTTGCAGCATGCTTCAGAAACCCTCCACTTTCCCCAGCTCCACCTGTATTGATCTGCTACGGGGTAGTTTCAGGTATGTTATATATGGGGGTTATTTCATATATATTACATGTGCAGCAGCAGTACTTCCTACATGCTCACTGGCTGCAGCATGTCTGTGGATGTATTGGCAGTAGCAGGTCTCGTTACTTGCTCGGCTGCAGCATGACAGAAATATATGAAAAAAAAGTACTAAAAATGACAAAAACACACAAAAAATTACTAAAATACACACACACACACACACACACACATAATATATATATACACATACACATACACATACACACACACACACATATATATATATATATATATATATATATACACATAAGTGAGAGAGAGTGTATTGTTTTATTGCAAATGTTTTAGTATAATAAATACTTTTCATGTTCTGATAATCCAATCTGATGTTTATGTGTGTCCTGTGTGTCCACAGATGTCTTTTGATTTAATGGAACAACAAACAAAGAAATTGATTACATAAGAGAAAGCCTGCGGACACCTTGATCAATAGCAGCGTTGACAGACAATTACCAGTGAAAAGGTTGGTTGGCTGTGTAGTTTGACAAGCCTCTTCATATGAATTTGATTAACAAAAGGGCAAAGGTCAAGCCAATCAATAATTGTTTTAGTGATGTTGCAATTCAATGAGGTGGTTTGCTTTCTGTCTTTGAAAAGATTACAACACGGGGAACTGTTTGGTGCTATTCTGTGCATACAGTCATCAGAAGTGCTCTTCAAACTAAATTAGTTTTGGGAATTACAGATAATCATAATTATGCTGAACAGTTGTCTAAATTTGGATAAAGCTTGTCAACAGAGTAAACTCAGCATCTGTCATTGGCATATAAAAATCCTTTGGGAAAAGATTGACCTAATTTAGTCACAATCCAAAGTTATATTCAAAATAAAAATAAAATCTTTAAGATATTTTCACTAGACATTTCCTCTGCAGACTTACATGAGTAAAATGTTTATCACAAGATGATCTGCTTTCAAATGTCACATTTACTGGCCTTTTCACATTTATCTCAATGAAACCAGAGCAGAACCTACAGAAGGTCTCTTGCGAACACAGGATATGTCATTTGTTGCTTGTGACTCAGAGGCGGAAGGTGACTTTATAGAAATGAAGAGCTCTTGGTTCTCCATCATGACAACCAAAGGATGGGGTCTTATTCTCATGATCAAAGCATCTTCCAGATGTTTTCTAAGAACAGAAGAACATTTAATGTCCTGCTGTATTATCGGCCACTTGTATTGAGTAGAAGACATGGAGAAGCCAGTAGCACTTAAGCAGAATTGAATTGGTGTTCAGTCAATATGAAGCACAGTGTGTGGCCTCGTTGACAGACCTACAGGTATCAATGTCGAGTGGAAAACAAAAGGACCCCAAGTGACATGGACATTCAGAAAGACCAGAACACATTATTATTTTGAAAGACTGAGCTTTTAATGTTTAAAAAGCCTCAAAGGAAAGGTCAAGTCAGAACTGAGTTAAAGTCACATTGATTTTTTATTTTTTATTTATTTATTTATTGTCATAAGGAATCTCTCATACAATAAATTCTGGAAGCTCACTCAGCAACGCCACCAGGCAAAATCTACAACAGCATTTCTATGACTTTCCAAGTGAGAAAAAAAAAATCAAGAGATTAATTACGTTGGTCAAAAGAGAGGCTTTGTATTGGAAACATTCACACAGCAGCAATAACGAGTTTTGTTATTTTTTATGCCAGGGTAAAAAAAAAAAAAAACACCAAGCCTGAACTGATACGCAAAACTACCAAATTTTCTGTGAAGCTGCTTTGCAACTATGTGTATCGTGAAAAGCACTATACAAAAGAAAAGAAAAAAAAAAACCTTATAGTGTTTACAAATGTATGGGTATAGAAAAAATAATCCCCCCTTTAAAATAATTTTCAATCAAAGCAACATTTTGTTGCTTTGCAGCCTGAAATGAAGATGGACACAGTTTTTGTTTTGTCCAGCTGTATTTACTCAGTGCAACTTATAACATTCAAGTGAAAGATATAACACCAACATGTCAGAAAAACAAAAACAGAATCACTCAGTTGGAAAAAGGATCACCACCTTGTGTCAGTATTTTGTTGAACCACCTTTTGCTTTAATTACAGCCTTTAGTCTGTTGGGATTTGTCTATATTAACTTTGCACATGTTGGTGTTATATCTTTTCACTTGATTATTTACAGAGTGGTGATTCTTTTCTATACCCACTGTACATTCAATTTTTTTTTTTTTTTATGAAAACAAAAAGCTTTGCTAGATTTACAATGTTAATAAGAGGAAATGCTTCATCACAGTGTGTGTAAAGCCTAAAGTCCTATTTACTTGAATGAATCCTGCAATTTCAAAAACTGCTTGCCACATTCACATTTAAATAACACATTTCAATTCAGCAACAAAATCTGACATGAGCTGTCTCACAAATGTTGTTTCTTATGCTCAAATAGCATTAAAAAGCATATATTTCAGGCTGGACCAGCCAAGGGGCATGTGCAGTCGTAAGCACACTAACAGCAGATGCAGTGATGCAATGACTTTACCAGTTGGCGATTGGCTCTTATTTAGGCAGAAGTTATTCCTCCATATTACACGTTGCTCTTTCTCCCATTTATAAGGTGCACCAAAATCTGCAAACTCATGCCCTATTTCATGCCGTTTTTAAGTATAAATAAATAGAGTGATTAGTGTTCACATTAAAAATTCCAAAAAGAAAAATGCCCAGATGATGCACTTAATTAACCAAAAAAAACAAAACAAAGTTGCATCCCAAATGATGCACTATACACCATGCACTTATACACTCAACCGTGTATGAAATTTATAGGGTTATTTTGTGTGGTCGGTGCCATTTCCATGGCACAGGTGAGTGTGGCGGGTGGTGAAATGAGCAGCCCGTAGGGAAGGTGTTTAATTATTCCACCTGAACAGCACGGGATTATCCAGATCAGAGGCTCCTGGGGCAGACAAAGAGGGTGATTGAGAGACCTATCTGTCAAGACGGACTAACCTGCCCTGTCACTTTTTTGTTAAGTGATTTGAAGATATACAGTAATCAATGCGCTTCATGGGTGAATGCAAATCTCGGCTTCTCTAGAAGTGAACTTAATTGTAGTGTGTAGTCTGTAATGTTGTATTAAATGTCACTTAAATTGTCTGTTCATCAAAATGTCATGCTGTCACAGATTCTAATCATCTTCCTGTTCTGAGGAACCGAAGAGGATCATTTACTGATCACAGATCATTTGCACACCAGTTTCGCTTAAAAGTGAATATTTAATAGTAATTGCATACATCTCCCTTGATGCCAACATGTTCACATGGCAAAAATCAACACAGTTTTCCAATTTGGAAATCAGACTTATTAGGAATAAAAAGATACACTACACTCGCAAATATTAGGGATATGAGATTCACATAGAGTATATAGAATTTACACACACAGACTACTTTCAAAAATTCAAAATTGTATTTTCTACATTGATAATTAGGGCTGCACGATTAATCGAATACGATTGTCATGCGCATTTTGTTAAAAAAAAGCCGGTTCTGTAATCAGCAGTAAATCATCATCCCGTGCTTTCAGATCGAGCAGCATTTACTACACATTGCCGTAGTTCACTGACAAGTAACGCAAAAAAATCGCAGACGATTTTATTGCGCGATTCTGAAATCGAAGAAATCGTTCGCGATAATGACAGCTGTTTGCATAGCTTCTCAGTGAACTACAGCTCTGTGAAGTAAATGTTGCTCCATCTGAAAGCATGTGAAAATACCACATTTAATAACATATTTTTACTATAGGTTGGTATATTAACATTATATCAGTTAATGAAATTACAGTATTTAACTGTAAATTTAAGTTAAAACCGT